TACTAAACTCACAGAGTCTTGGTCCATTTTCTCCTACTGTAACAGAATTTCACTGACTGGGTCAACTGTAAACAACACAAGCTCTTCTTCTGTTCTGGAGGTCAGGAGGTCCTCAGGCATGGCCACAGCTGGTGAGGGTCTTGGCACTGTGTCAAAACAAGGTCTTTCTTTCTCCTCTTATAAAGCCACTAATTCCATCATGGGAACCCCACCCTCATGACCTCATCTAATGCTAAGTACTTCCCAAGGCTCCACCTCCAAACACCATCAATGTATGATTGGGGGATTAAGTTTCCAACTCATGGACTTTTGTGGACACATTGAAATGACAGCACTGGGAAGCTCAGTTTTCCCTATTGACTGCCTTCCTTGGAGAGGGCCAGAACCTGTTGTGATTTGAGGCCATTGAGATTTGTGGGGTTGTTATTGTAGCCTTACCCCATCCATCTTGCCTGCCACTCAACTTGCAATGCCAAATCTTCTTCAAGGCAGATATATACCAGTCAGTGTTGATCATATGCACGTGTATCGACATGTCCATACATACATAAAATACACATGTAGACATCAGAGGACGTTCTTACTGCAGAACCAAGAGCACCTTTCCAAGGGAGACTCAGAGGAGACTCAGTCCATTGCAAAAACATTGGTCCTGTGGCTCTGGGTGCTCCCTGGCCCATACGTTCTTCTGCATTCAGAGCTCTCTACACCGCTCCCCATAGGCACAAGCCACAAAGGATCTATGGAAGAAACCTGAACTTCTTAGTCTATCACACATTGTCCTCCACTGTGGAGTCCTGCTTTTCTTTCTGTCCCCTCCTTCCACACAATTTTCCTGCCACACATAAATGAAGCTCTCCCCTCTCCGAACATACCAGGTCTGCTCTGATATCCACCTCGTCATCCCTGCTACAGCCCTTGCTCATTCCTTCTGCCCAGCAGATCCTATCTTCTAAGAGCCACCTCAAGTATCACTTCCTCATTAAATCCTTCCAGGATTTCCTGGGAAAGAATTTTTTTCTCTGTTAATTTGCTCCTTGAAAGGTGCCATGGATATCAATGGTGACCCTGGAATAATATTCTGGATTGAATTAGTTTTTCTTGGTTCTTCAACTTCTTCTTTTGGAGTTTGAAGCCATTTCCAGTAGCCTCCCCAACACCCACTTCAGAGTATGGCACAAAATTATTGCAGGTTTAACTTAGGGGGCCTAGGTGAGGAGTAAATTAATGATATATATTGTTGTTATTTATTTATTATTTTATCCATTTATGAAACGAATAATTATTAAATTACTTATTAAATGCCTCAGGAACAGGCATGCACCAGTGAATCACGTGACCGTGACTGAGGCTCTGGTGTCCCTTCTGCCTTGACCGTGCTACTGGGGAAGCTCATGCTGACGTGAGGATGGCATTCCAAGCCACCCCAGGGAGACCAGCTGTCCAGGGATCTTCAGGATCCACAAAACCAGGTCTATGAGCCAAAACCTGTTGTGATTTGAGGCCACTGAGATTTGTGGGGTTGTTATTGTAGCATAACCCCATCCATCTTGCCTGCCACTCAACTCACGATGCCGAATCTTCTTCAAGGCAGGAAAAGGTTCATGGACTTAATGCTGGATCAGGATCTGGGAAAACTAGCCCAGTGTGAGGTTTCCAGCTGCCCTTATTTTTCTCAGTGTGATAGAAAGATTGGGCATCTAGGAGCCAGGGCCTCTGCTCTGGCCTATGAAAGGACCCATCGGAAATTCCCCTTTCAGTGTCTCTGTGGATTCTGCACGGCTGAGGATATGTCCTCAGGAGGGGAGGCCAGAAGGCTACTGCTTCCTGGTCCCCTGCTGGCTGGCTGCTCCTGGGCCTGGGAACTAGGGAATGAAAGAAGGAGGAGCCTAGACATCAAGTCAACACCCAGGGTGGTGACAGGCCTTCCTGCTCTACTTGGAGTATCAGTGTAAATGGCCCTATTCTCCACTTGTGTCTAACCATGAAAATCTGGCTTTACTGGTGTGTGTGTGTGTGTGTGTGCGCGCACGCTTTCCAAATGATTCCCTGACACTTGTCCCATAGTCCCATTTTAGAAAGTGCAAACTAAAGGGCAGAGACTAAGGAACTCAAACCAATGGCACAGCTATTAGTTGTATAGCCAGAATTCCAGAAATCTGTGGATGTGAAAGCCTGGGCTCTTTGCCCCACCATACAACGACAGAAGAGCTTCCCAACCACCACTCATTGTGAAGGTCTCCTGCCGGGCTCTATAAGCACCAGGCCTATCAACAAAGCTTGGTCCTGCCCCCAAGGAGCTCTCAGTTTTGTTGGGGACCTGGCACTTAAATGGTGACGATAGCTGAGTGGTGAGTGCCAGATGTGAGGAACACCGGAGGAACGGTTAGGGATGGCCTGGTGGAGAAGGAGCCATGGGGCTTTGAGGCAAGAAGGGGAATTTTGTGGACAGCGGTAGAGAGGAGGGAGGAGAACTCTACAGCAGACCGGAGCAGGTGCAGAGATCCTGAGGGGAGAGACAGCGGGACCTCATGGGGAACTGAAAACCTAGCTGGGATGACGGGGAGCAGTGGGCAGGGAATCTAACTTTCTCTGCAGCAGCCTGCGGTTCTCTAAATGTTGTGGGGGCCTTGAGTGGCTGAGGTAATTGCAACAGGTCTTCCTTTGGCAGAGCATCAAAGCCACCTCTTCTTAGCAGCTCCTGGAGTTTCTGAGGACGCTGGCTCAGGGCCATTTGCCACCACCCCAGATGGAAGGTGCAGGCCTGCCATGCAGCCTCTGATGGCAGTGTCCTGAAGGCACTAAAGGCATTCCTGGCAGGGAGCTTCAGAGCCTGACAGCCCCAGCCTCCACCCACTCCCACCAGCAGTTTTAAAGGAGAAGGTAATTGGCTTTGTTTGGAGAGACCTCTAGGGAATGTAGGCTGCCCTTCTCGCTTTACATGTTATCTCCTTCGTGTCTCAGCCATGCCACATGGAGGACCTTGTTCTTCTCCTGTTCTAGAGGAAACCTGGCTTCTCCTGTTTTCCTGGGTCCTGCAGCTGGCATTCCAATCCAAGCCTGTCTGAGTCTTGGGCTCACTCAGTCTTGCCTCTGTGAATTCTGGTCGTAGGGTTCAATTAAACTCAAAATTGAGAGCAATCACCTTTAACTTGGGGCATATTTAACATCCTTTAAGTTTTCTAAGTAGCCAAAGCTCATTCTTGATCCCTTTGGTGGGCTGCCCACTTTCTTGGGACCTGGCTGGCCAGGCCTTTCTGGGCAGCTTCTTCACTTGGTCAAGGCAGATAGCCTTTGCAACTCCTTCCTGCTTCAGGACCTTGGGGGACAGAAATGGTAAATCCTACTTATATTTAATCCTGGGCTTTAACTCAGGAAAGTCACAACTGCTTTTTGGAACAGGCTTCCCCCAGAATGGAGGGAGGAGGCACATGCAGAAGCATCTTGGGGAAGTGTCCGCACAGGGAGGAGAGGGGAGATAAGCGGGCTCCTGGGAACAGGCAGAGGCTGGGGGGCTCAGGGCCAGGTATGCGCAAGGGCTGCACAGAAGGTAGATGGGCTTCCTGGTGGAGCATGAGGCTGGGATGGCAGCCCCAGGAGCTGGAAGTCAGTGAGGAGCGGTGGCCGGTGGTGTGTTTTGGTTCTGCTTTCGTAAGTACAGCAGTGGTTTGGCTGCAGCAGTCAAAGACCTGAAAATATGGAAGCAGGCTTTGGGGAAGAGGAGCACAGAGAATAGCAAGAGTGAATATGGGAAGTGATGAGCCACGGGCTCTGTGCAGAGCCTTGGCGTTCGTCCAGAGCCTGCTGTCTACAAGAAGAGATCATGGGGTTCCCAACTGCCCTGGGCCTGCTCGGGTCACCCAGCTGCTGCGCTCTGTCTTCAGCCCAACGTCTTTACTCCCGGCTTGTCTGTGTCAGCTTAATAGACGTTGCAAACCAGAAGGGGCCCGGAAAGAAAAAACGTTGCTATTAATAATATCGATAATCTATTCACTCAGCCTGATGTATTGAGATCTAATATGTGTCAGGTCCTGGAATTCAGAGATGGATGGAAACTCACTGCTTGATGAAATTTATACAATAGAGCGTGACCAGCACACACACGAAGCGGTGGAGCCCAGAGACGGGAGAGGCTCGGCCCACCCTGGGAGCATCAGGCCATCTTCCTAATGCATTTGCAAAATACGTGAACTAGACTGAGGAGACAGCAAAGGGCAGGCAAGGTGGAGGGGCTGCATGTGCTGAAAGGAGATGTAAATGTTTGGCAAGGCTGGGAGAGAGCCAGGACGAAGATGGGGCCAGGAGAGAAGAGGGGATGAGTGGACCGTATTCCACGGGCATTGGGAACCAAGTGTGGGTTTTATGTAAAAGATAAATGGGATTGTAACACTGTATTTCAGAATACCCAGTTTATAATAATTACAATAAATGATATTAATTACAAATGATGATGATAATAATATAAGTACAAATCTATCCATCGTATGTCAGAGGTGATGGGATGTCACCCACTGCTCTGATTATGCTGCTTTACAAATGACTCTATCTTAATGGAATGAAGTGAGAGGTTCTCCTGCTGGATTTGAAGAAGCCAGCTGCCATGCTAGGGACACGTGACAAGGAGCTGTGGGCACCCTCCAGATAAAGGATACTACAAGCTGGGTCCCTTGACTGTCCACCTGCAAGGAAATGTACCCACCAGTCACCTGAATGAGCTCGGAAGTAGATTCTTCTCTGGTTGAGCCTGCAGATGAGGACACAGCCTGACAGATTCCTTGATTGCAGACTTACATGAGACCCCAAGAGTCCTAGAAATAGTGAGATAAATGTGTGTTATCTTAAACTGCCAGTTTTGTGATGCGTCATTACAGAGCAATGCAGATAACTAATATGGACCTCCCCAGGAGTGGAAAGCTATCGTTCATGTCCAGGTGGCTTATTTGGAGGTCCCCAGTAAACGCTCCAGGAAGGAGACCTGAACCAGGGAGGGGAGGGAAGTACTTCTTGCCAGATGTAGGGGTGATGGGAGCTCAGTCCATGGAGAATGCAGGATGAGGGTGTGGCCCAGTTTGGAGGTGAGAAAGCTGGACTATGGAGCTGCTCCTGTGAGTGTGGGGGTCCTACCAGCCCACTGGGGACTGTTCCTACGTTGTTGGGTGGCTGCTTTCAGGGACATTGACTCTTTACCCTCTGGTCTTGCTTTGCACTAGGGCCAAGTAGACTCCCATGGTCAGAAAAAAAATGGAAGTGACGTGTGTTTACATTGCACTTGTAGCCTTTGTGTGTAGAGGCTGGTGCTGAGGGTGGGCAGCGGGGCTTTCATGAAGACCAGCTCGGGAGCAAAGTCTATCCCTCTCAGAGTTGTGAGAATAGGTGATGTGATGCCTGCCACTTGAGAAATGTCAGTTTCCTTTAAAAAAAAATCAATATTTTCCCCAAAGAAAGGTGTGTGAGAATCTTCTGTGGGGCCTCTGACCAATGCCACATGCCCCTGGGTTTGACACACTCTTTAGACTTCACTTTCCCCCTTGGGTGAGGACAAAGCTGTACTGCAGAGGCCTCGTCCTGCTCACACACTCTGCTCCTGTGAGTGTGGGGGTCCTACCAGCCCACTGGGGACTGGACACCCACACAGCAGGGCAGCAGGGCATGCAGGATGTGAGGCAGCCCCAGGCCAGCGCAGTCGCTCTGAGCAGTGCAGACTCAGGCAAGCGCACGGCCTTCTACTCCTACTTCCACAGCTACACAACGGGAGGATGATGCTGATTTCTGTGGCTGTTGAGGATTCCACGGGATAACAGATACTGTCGATCGCCATGTTGCCAGGGAGTCCTGTGCTATAAAGGTGCTTTGAACACTGAATGGCGGAATACCGGGCCATTGCTCCTGGTGGACACACGGGGTTAGCCTCCTGGAAACTTCCTGTCACATTTCAGTCAACTGATCACTGCATGATCTTGTGTGCTTTTGATGAAAAGCCTTATTTGATACAATTGTTGATCATTAGCCTTGACCTCCTGGCCATCGACACTACAGGGCCTGTCTGAATGAAGCTTAGGGAAGATCTGCAGTTTCCCCGCCAGTGGTCTTGTGCTCTTTAGCACTAGATTTGCATGCTCTTTTGAGACAGAAAACTGACCCCCAGAAAGTAAGTGGCACCAAATAGACTTTTAAAAGTCCCCTTGCTTATAGGATGGGAGCCAAAACAGGAAGGTAGAGCCCTGCCACGTTTGAACATCTCCAGGAACGTTTGCCTCCCCGTGCAGAATGCTTTGTTGCTCTGCCTTGACTGTGAATGCCCACAAAGAAGCCGGAATGTCACCAGGACTGTTACAGGGATTGCCAAAAACTTTCACTGAGTTAAAGAATTTGCAAATACAGAATACCGAAATAGTGAGAGTTGGCCCTATGTAGAGTTAGGCCAGGAAAAAAAAAAAGGTCACTTATTATGTTATTAATCAGGTTCAGAGTGGAGTGAGGTAGAGACCGGTTAGTGGACACCAGAAACCCAAATGTCAGCTTGTGCCATAATTTGAAACCCCTCACAACAATGGAGAAGCCTTGAGCTTCCTCTCCTCTGTGTCTACCAGGTCTCCAAGGATTTCTAAACTTCTCAGGCTTACCTTTCGGGCCTCCCTGGTGCAGTATCCAGGGCTGCACAGGCGCGTCCTGCATTGATGCTGAGGCTGCTGGCCTGTGTGGGCCTGGGACAAGCTTTGTTTGGCCAGGTCCAACCCAACCTGGCTCCAAGGCCTGCGTGCCATTGCTGGGGAGCACGGGCCTGTATCCTGCCATTGTTCTGGGAAGGGCTGAGGTGGGAGGTGGGACCGTCCTGCCGGCGAACAGCCCTGCAGATAGGGAATCTGTTTCCAAATTGCTGGAGTCATAGAGGAAAAAGAGGCTGGCTTGCATTATACCACACCACCCCCTTCCTGCTCTCCACCCCAACCCTCCGGTCAGGTGACCAGAGAAGCCCCAGGGGGTCCCTAACCTCCACTTCTGTGCTTTTCCAGGGAGATAGAGGAAAATAAAGGGAACTCCCATTTCTGGACATCCCCCCACCCCGTGCTGAGCCCCCAGTGTTGGCCACTTCCCACGCCTGCCTGTGGAAACCTCCCAACAGGAGTCCACTTGTGTCTGGAGCATCCCTGGGTCACAGAGGAGGAAACTGAGGTTCAGAGTTGTCCCGTGAATAGCAGTAACTTCAATCCCCACCTGGACATTGGGCAGCATTAACTCAGTTTTTTTTTTTTAATTGTTCTTTATAGTTATACATGAAAGTAGTGTGAATTCTGACATATTTATATAAACATGGTGTGTATTTTATTCTAATGAGGATCTCAGTCTTCTGGATGTACGTGATGTGGAGATTCTCTGTGGTGTATTCATAGATGTACAGGGAACGTTATGTCAGATTTTTTCCACTCTCTTTCCTCTTCCTCTTCCCCTTCCTTACCTTCATTCCTCTTTGTTTAATCCACTGACCATCTATTCTTCCTCCCCAGCCCTACCCATTGAGTGTTAGTGTCTGCATATCAGATGGAACATTTAACCTTTGGTTTTTTGGGGTTGGCTTATTTCACTTAGCCTGATAGTCTCCAGATCCATCCATTTAACAGAAAATGTCATAAAGTCATTCTTCTTTTTGGCCTAGTTATATTTCATTGTGTATATACACCACATTTTCTTTATCCGTTCACCTATTGAAGGGCACCTAGCTTGGTTCCATAGCTTAGCTATTGTGAATTGAGCTGCTCTGAACATTGATGTGGCTGCGTCACTGTCATATGCTGACTTTAACTCCTTTGGATATATACTGAGGAGCGGGATAACTGGGTCAAATGGTGGTTCTATTCCTAATTTTTTGAGGAATCTTCATACTGCTTTCCAGAGGGGTTGCACCAATTTTCAGTCTCACCAGCAGGCATTAACTTACTTTGTACTACCATGGAGGATTCTGTCTGAGAGACATCTTAAAGAGCAGAAAGTGTTGCAGAAAACCCAAAACTGCACCGGGAGCCCTATAATAATCCTTAAGATAACATAATAATTATAAGAGCTGCTTTCTAAGTGCAGGGCACAAAGCTCAGCACTTCACTACTTTTCTGTTGGTTAGTTGTTCTGGTGACATTTCAGGGTATATGTTATCATTATGCCCATCTCAGAGATGAGGTGTCTGAGGCTGGAGATAAGAGCCGACTCGCCCGAGGTTGCAGAGGTTCTAACCTAGAAAGCAGGAGAGCAGGGGCAGAATCCAGAGCCCATCCTCATGTCCGCTCTGCTTCAGGGTGGGGCTGATGAGAGGCCTGCATCTTGTTCCCCAGCCTTCTCCTGTCCCCTGGGTGACTCCTCCATATCCTCGAGAGAAAGATCAGTGAGCTTTGGTGACATAAGATGCAGACTTAATCCCCTTTTATTTCTTTCTAGGTGAGTGACTTCGTGAGTCACCTAAGCTCTCTGAGACTGGAATACCCTTCCCTCACAATGAGGTCACAACTGTTGTCTAATTTAGAGAGGTGTGTAGAGGATTCCTGAGTTCATATGCAAGGAAGTACCTTATCAACTCTTCTACCATCCAGAACTCATGAATATGATTTGTTTTTTTGGGGGGCAACCAGGGATTGAACTCAGGGATTGAACTCACTCGACCACTGAGCCACATCCCCAGCCCTATTTTGTAAATTTTTATTTAAAGACAGGGTCTCACTGAATTGTTTTGTGCTTCACTTTTGCTGAGGCCGGCTTTGAACTCGTGATCCTCCTACCTTAGCCTCCCTAGTCACTGGGATTACAGGTGTGCACCACCACACCTGGCCAAGTGGTTTTCTTTTAAGCTTGTGATTCCTGATGTCTTGTCCTAAAGGGGTCCTGTGCTGCTTTGTGTCCCACACTGTGAGGAATATCAGTACAGTCACGCCCAGGAGATGTCGGCCCATTTCATAGATGTCAATCACCATCCCCCTTCCCATTTTAAGATGAGAAAACTGCGGCCTAAACAAGAAGACACTTAATCACAAGTCTGCAGCGAGTTGGCGACTGAGCTGGGATGAGGCCCTGAGCTCTCTACTCCTGGCCTGATGAAACTTCCATCAAATGCCCCAGTGGATCCTGTAAGAAGTTTTGGCTTCGAATGATAAAGAAGATGAGCGCAGAGACAGCTCTGCATTCAGGCTTTTGTCTTGAAGAATTGTAGCTAACCGTTCACATGGTGTTTCCGCATTCCCATAAAAAACCACCACGCATCCTTCCAACTATGCATTCTGAATTATAGACTTGCTGGGAATCGGCCTATACTTAAGTGTGGAGTTTAACGTGTGCCTGGGACACCAGATAAAGCTGCTGCCCCCAGTTTATGTCACTGTTGGATTCTAATTGAATATTGTCATTATTTTTAACACATGGATTGCACTTCATATCTGTGCATTTCTTTGTATGTGGGACACTCATCAGGCATCCTCATACCCATCAGGTCACCTGATTATCACCCAGCCACCCGAGGAAGGGGCTGTATCTTTTTTATTTGTTGTTTTTAGATACACATGACAGTAGAGTGTATTTTGACATGTTATATATACATGGAGTACAACCTAATTCCACCCATTCTTGTGAGTGTACACGATGTGGAGTTACACTGGCTGCATTTTCATATATGAGCAAAGGAAAGTCATGTCTGATTCATTCCACTGCCTTTCCTATTCCCATGCCCCCTCCTTTCCCTTCATTCCCTTTTGTTGAATCCAAAGAACTTCTATTCTTCCCCTCCCCATCTTCCCTTGTGGTGGGTTAGCATCCACATATCAGAGAGAACATTTATGACACAGTCACATCAATGTTTATAGCAACTCAATTCACAATAGCCAAGCTATGGAACCAACCTAGGTGCCCTTCATCAGATGAATGGATAAAGAAAATGTGGTACATCTACACAATGAAATATTACTCAGCCTTAAAGAAGATGAAATTATGGCATTTGCTGGTAACTGGATGGAACTGCAGAATATCACACTAGGTGCTCTATTTTTCATGAATACTCTTGACGACTTGAAGACACTGAGAATCCATAAAGGCAGCTTGACCAGGAGCATTATATGGATATGAAGAGGAGGGACTGGGACCAGGACTCAGTGCAGACTCAGAGTTCTTTCACCCCCACATTGCCTCCACTCTTCCTCCCCACTGATTTCTGCCACTGTCGGTGGGCACTGGGGACAGCTGTGTTGGTGCGATATGCCAGGAGGGAAGGATTCAAGGGATGTAACAGGGACTCAAGGTGGAGATTTGGGACTGGAAGGATTTATCTGGAGTAACTAGGAGCAGACAGAACTGGAAAAGACAGGCCATGATAGGGGAGCCCAGACCCGTGCTGGAGGAGGGTCACAGTTTGCAGAGCCCTTAGCAAGACATGCCACTTCCCTGGGAAAGTCTTTCCTGACCCTCAGACTCTGTGATGTCTCTGAGTTAAGCATGGTTTAATTCTGCCTCATTCTTTTGTAATGATTTTGATAGTTAAAAATTACTTATTGGAGGGGGCTGGGGTCGTGGCTCAGTGGTAGAGCACTCGCCTAGGACCTGTGAGGCCCTGGGTTCGATCCTCAGCACCACATGAAAATAAATAAATAAAATAAAGGTATTGTGTCCAACTACAAATAAAAAATAAATACTTAAAAAATTACTTATTGCAGTGGTCTATTTTTGCTCTGTGTGTCTCCTCCACTTGACTGGAAGCTTCCCCAGGGCAGGGATGAGTTTGATGATTGCCGTTATGTCTAGCAGTGTGGCTGATACACAGTTGGAGCCCAATAAATGCTGATGGACTGGAGTAGCACCCTGTAAGAAAGATAGGGTTCTTAGGCATGCGCTTCTTCAGGGCAATGAGACCATGTAGTGCATAAGTTTTCAGAGTGCTGTCTGGAGACCCTGACAATTTTTAAGGGGAACTTGAGGTCAAAAAGCATTTTTGTAAAAATATTTGCCTTTTTCATGACCATCCATCCATCCTGGAGTGATCTTTTCTGGGGCTTACTCACTGTGTGATGCCATCATGCCTTGATGACAAATGAGACGTGTGCTTAGGTGTTCTTGAGTTTTGAAAAATGACATGGTTTTGATTTCTAGTATGGTATCTGATAGAACCCACAGAAGCACGAGTTCTTTGGGGTCCTCCATAATTTTTAAGACTGTGAGGGGTCCTGGGGCCACAGTGTTGCAGGATGCTGGCTGGGCTCACGTCTTGGATATGCGTGGATTTAGGTACCCAACACAGCTTCTTGGTGACTTAGTGTTCTCCCCCGTAGGTGGCAATAAAGCTAATGGAGGTGGCTGAGAGGGTCAGTTAAGAACTGATACGACAAGTTATCAGAATGTTTCCTGTATTTTAGGAAGGTCAGCCCTGCGGGGGTGCAGGGTGGGGGTGGGAGGCCGGGGGTATTGGTGGGACCGAGAGTTCTCTTAGTTCTTCCTGTGGCTGGGGCTGCAGAGGCCTGCAGGGATGGGGCCTTTCCCACCGCTGGACCTGGGAGTCAGGGACAGGGGGCTTGAATCCCTGTCTCTAGAGTCCTGATAGAAGTGCTCGGGGCAGGGGAGCCCACGGACAATGATGGGAAGGGACAGCCTTTCAGGCCCTGGGCTCTGACACCTGCCCCTGTGAACACAGCCGCGCTGGCCTCAGCCAGAGAGAAGCTTCGATTCCTGGAAACGCGCATCAGCATATTAGTTACTGTCTTATCAGCAAAGTGCAGAGGCGGCCAGGGAGCAAGGGAGGGATCCTGTTACTCGTGACGAAATGCCCTTTTGGTCAAGTATGAAAACTGTTTCAGGAATGAGTTCCCAGCTCTGGTGTGAAAACAGATGTTGGATTCTTTTTTTTTTTTTTTCTTTTCCTTTCTTTCCCCTCTGACACAGTTCAGGAAGAAGGGGCAGATGTCAAACCTTTGAAGCAGAGCTGCTCATCCACGTGAAGGTCTTGGGATGATGTCAGAAGAGAAGCTTCGCTGTCAGGGTGCTGGGACCGGGGAGCCTCTCTCACTCCCAGGTTCCACAGAAGGGAGCTGATGTCCCTCAGAGGAAGAGGTGCCCCAGGTCTGGTGGTATGGCTGGGTCTCTCTGAGTCCTTTGCTTATTCCTGAAATAAGATTAACAAGAGTCACAAAAAATTATAAGCTGACAATCTTGAACGTGACCATAAGAAATAAACTTAGGAAAAATTGTTTTTAGGGTAAGGGCAAAACCTTACCTAATCATTTATTCCTATTCTTTTTTAAAAAATCAAGTCAACTAAAATAGCCTTTTCTTCTCAAAACTAATGTTGATGAGGGAATAGAAACAACTCTGAGCAGATCAGCCACAGCATCTGCTGGGTTGAAGGACTCAAGAGGGGACAGAGGTCAGATCTGGGCATCAATTAGAACCAGGGTCATCCTGCATCTGTTATCTAGTGGCCGTGAGATCTCAGGCCAGTCTCCAGGGTTCAGTTTCTGCTTTGTAAAGTGGGGATAGTGAAGCTTTCTTGGAAAAGGCATCGTGAAGATATCAGAGTTACTAGGAAGAGCTGACCTAACCACTTCGAGCACTTCCTGTGTTGAGCCCTGTGCCGTGTGCTTCCTGGGCCTGCACACATTTGATCTTTTAAATAACTCATTCCCTAGGTAAGAAGGAAAATGGAGACCCAGGGAAGTTAAGGACCCGTTCACTGAAGTCAAATACGTAAACTTGCTATGTGTCGATTAAAAATATATATTAATAAAAAAAAGATGTCCAACATACAAGTAGTCAGTTTTAAAGTCATGGTCTGAATATTGTCATCCACTCCCCTTTCTCAAATTTATAGTTTGAAATTTTATCCCCCTAGGTGATGGCAATAGGAGTGGGGACCTTGGGGAGTTGATTAGGTCACAAGGGTGGGGCTCTCATGATTGGATGAGTGTGCTGATCAAACAGATACCAGGGAGCTTGCTTGCACCTTCTACCATATGGGGACACAGCTAGAAGGTATTGCCTGTGAACTAGAAGGAGCACCTTCATCAGACAATGAATCTTCTAGCACCTTAGTCTCGGACTTCCTAGCTTCCAGAACTGAGAGGAATGAATTTACATTGTTTACCATCTACCTGGTTTATAGTGTTTTGTTTGAAGGCCAAATAAATTAAGGTAATTCATACTAGTATAATAATTATTAAAACAATGATATCATTTTTATAAATATAAAATATTATTTGAATCATATCTGCCTTTCTTGGCTTATCATTGAAGACCTCATCGTTCTGAGATCATTATTGAAAAGAAGTCAGGCAAGCAGCACCATCGTATATCTGAAGACAGCATCCACGGTCTCTTCAGTATGTGGGGTCCCTGACCTAGAGGGCCACCTTGAGAAGAGTGAGAAAAATAAATAAAGACTTCCTAATTAATTTTTGTGTCATAAAATTAATCTCGGAAATCCTACATTGAACGTCTGCCATAGATCTTCCCTGGTGAGCGAAACGATCAGGTTACTGTGTTTGAGTAGGAATTACACAACCCAGTCGGGGGATATTGGTTATCTCATGCTAGTCACAAGGTTAGGCTGGCGCTAATATAAATGTCTTGATTAAAACAAATGAGTTATTACACCATGAACATTTTTTTTTGTTGTTGTTGCATCTTCTTTCAGGATGTGGGACTCATGGGAGAAAAGTCAAGGAAAGGTCCCTCCATGATAAGAAAGTTGGGAGCCGCTCAGCTGGGAGATGCAGCCATTTCACGGTTGTTTCATAAACAGAAATGGGCCAGGCTGGAAAGGCAATTTAGAAGAAGAGGGATGGTCCAGGGATTTCTTTTTTTGGTGCTGGGGATTGATTGAACTCAGGGCATTCAGTTTTTGTGTCTTACTTCTTTCACTCAATATTTATTTGTGGTATTCATCCACATCCTAGATTTTTATATTTTATTTGGAAACAGGGTCTCACTAATTGCTTAGGGCCTCTCTAAATTGCCGAGGCTGGCTTTGAACTTGCGATCCTCCTGCCTCAGTCTCCCAGACAGCTGAGATTACAGGTGCGCACCCTCCTGCCTGGCTGATGCATTGATCTCTGATGCTTCCAAAACTCCTCATCACTGAGAAGAAATGGAAACACATTTGCTCCTTTGCATCATTTTGCAAGAGCATACAGCACCAAGAGAATAGACAGGACTGTCCAGGATCACCTGGGAATTCAAGGTAGGTCCAGTCTCCTGAGTCCCTGCCCTTTTCCAGAGGCGTAGGTAGGTTTTATGAAAGGGTTTTCTGTGCTCCTGCAACTCAGGGCCTTCCCAGTTCTTGCTATTTGAAAGCCTTCCCAGAGAAGGTGACTTAAGTATTTTGAACATTTTTTAAGTATAACACACAGAAAAGTATACATATGTGATTACAGCTCAATGAATTTTCACGAACCCACGTCACCAGCAGTCATATCATCAAACAGAACATATGAACAACACAGAGCTCCCCATCTGGGGCAACCTTCTAGTAACTTCTACTCCTCTAAGAGGTCACTGTTGTCCTGAATTCTAGCCTTCATAAATATGACTCTGCTTGAGTTTGATTTTTTTCTATAAGGAATCTTATTGGGATGTGTGTTTTTGTGTCTTACTTCTTTCGCTCAATATTTATTTGTGGTATTCATCCATGTTTTTGCACATGTAGATTGTACCCTCTCACTGCTGTGCTGCATTCTATGCTGTGACTGTGTCATCATTCATGAATCTCATCTATTGTTGATAGACATTTGGTTATTACGATAGTGCTCTTTTGAGCACTGTAGTATTTGTCTTTTGATGCCTTTCTAACACATTTCTCTTGGGTAGACTCAGGAGTGGAATTACTTTGGGAGGTGATTTAAGGAGGAGGTAACCTCCCCCAAAGAGTGGAGGAAGTGATTATGTAGAGTCATACCGTAAACAAGAGCAGGAGATCTTTGGAGAATTTGAGGGACCCAGTGGGTGGGCCCCTGGTGCTCATCAATCCCGAGCAATGGGAGGCTTCCTTCCTCAACTTTCCTTCTTTCCTCTTTCTGGATAACTCTTGCTTTTCAGTCATTTCTATATGTCACAAGCTTGCCATTTCCTGGGACCTTCCAATTGTCTGAGGTTAGCTGCCTCCGCCTGGGTAGCTTTTCCCCCTGGGCTCTTACAGCTTTCTCTGATTCTTGTCAATACAACACCCCTGCACTGGCGCTGTCTGGTGACTCTCCTTTTTCTTGACTAGACTGAGTTCCTTGAAGGAGAGACTGGGGTTGGCCTGGTACCTTCTTGCACCTTGTCTCTACTCTTTCCTTTTCCTGCCCTTATCCCTGCCTCCAGAAGGGCTGCATCAAAAGCTCCCATTACTTTTTCCTTATTTTTGGCTTTGGCCCTTGGAAGACCAGAGGAAGAGAGGAGAGGAAGGGAAGGTGATCCTCCCCCAGGCTGTGTTCTGCAGGGTGGTCTCAAGCTGACTGCATTTCTATCTGAAGGTTGTAATGTCTCTCTTGGAGGCCAAATCCCTGCTTCAGGCCTAGCCCTATGAACAATCCCAAAATTTCGAGGCTCAGGTACCATGGGCCCCTTACTATTCTACCAACCCTGCTCAAATTGTCCTAATCTGTGTGTGTTATCAGCTAGGACCCTAACGACATATACATTTTTATTTATTTATCTTTGTATCTACCTGGCAACTGTCTGGCACATGCTCGTGAAAAATGAAGGTTAATTGACTAAGTAAATAAGTGGAGAAAGAACTGGGAGAAGGTGAGTTGACCCTCAGCCAATAGAGAAGGACCTCGAATGTTCTTCTATGAAGTTTAGACTTAAATCTTCATGACCAGGCATTACAACTTCAAGTGTCTATAACTGGGAAGCCCAGGTGAGACTCATGGCACAGGAGGAAATGAATGGTGTCTAAATTATGCCACCACTAATCAGCATCAGCCCATTAACATTCCACAGGAATTTGGACCAAGCATGGCTAGATCATCTGGTTTTTCGAGAAATGAGAAATCTGGATTTTGATGGGGAATGCCAAGTTTTAAGTGTTACCAACATTTAAAAAATTTAAATACTTCATCTTGGCAAATAAACACGTAGCTGCTAGTTTTTAAGATCTCTGTAACCAATAGGGGCCTGTTAGTTAGCATGAGGCAGAGAATGAGGTGATCAGATCTTGCACAATGCCATGAAAAAGAGATCCCCAATAAAAGAGCAGGCCCTTTGATCTCAGTCCCCACAGCAGTTTGACTGTGCTGAGAGGCTGTTACTTACACTGAAAACACTCAACTTTCCCCATGATGAAGATATATATATATATATGTATATGTGTATATATATATTTTTTAAATCAGGTTTTAGTACTAAAAATAGCATCTGGTGGATTTCTCTACTTTAGTCAGGTTCCCAGCCACTTTCTCTATTTCTGCTTCAAGCGAGGAGCTCTGAGTTCGTTTGGGTTTTATCAAATTATACACTGCGCAAAGGCATCCATTTCACCAACAGATGGACTTAATGTGCATGAAAATACATGCCTTTTAAAGAAACTAAATTAGTAGTTCCACTTCTTTCCCCTTTTATTAAAGACAGAGTTCTAGGAGAGCTCTCTGCTATAAAGTCAGACTTTATAGACATCAGCAAAATGAGATTTATTTGGATGGAAATCGGACGGAACATCAGAGGATTCCTCCGCAACACTGACCCTGCAGGTTTCAAGTAGAGATTTGAAGAATGCCAGCTTCCAGTCCCAGGCATGGTTTGAAAATAGAAGCGCAGAAAGATAAAAAGTTTAAAAACCCTCAAACTCTCTTTAAGAGTTGGAGGATTTCTTGAAAGGATGTGTTGATGGCTTGCTTGGATCACAGGTGTCAGGACTGGGGAAGTCAAAGGAAGCGAGGAGATGCAGTCCACAGAGCTCTAGGACTGAAGTCAGAAGACCTGGGCGCTTGTCCTAGTTTTGTCATTGATCCACCTTGTCACCCCAGACAAGTCCCCTCTTCTCTCAGATTCTTTGGTTTCTCACTTGGAATGTGGAGGCAATAATCCCACATTGTCCACCCTGTAGGGTTATTGTTTGGGAAGAATTAGAAGTGTTTTGAAGGAAAGCACCTTCCTTTTCCATGTTTTTATGGATTTATGGAACTGCTTACTTATTATAATTATGAAAACAATAGCATGAATGTATTTTCACTTTGAAATTTCAGCCAATACACCATCAACTCAAAAATTCCCTTCGGCTTCTCTTTTTAACTCAGTCTCAGAAGTAACTCTGAACAGTTTGATCTGAATGTGTCCTTGAATTTTTTCCATGAAATATTAGACATAAAGACATGTAATACAGACAAAGAGTTATGTGGTGATTTTTAAAAATTTCATAAATAGAATCATGCTGCCTATATCCCCCAGTTTGCTTTTCTACTGAATAAAACATTCCATGTCAGAACATGGAAACCAGCCACATTCTTCTAGAAGGTTTCACAGATGCTATAGTTGGGATACACCATGGTACCCTGTGAATGGATAATATAGTGCTTCCAATATTTCATGGTTACAAGAAAATGCAATGTATACTTCTTTGTACCTCTGTGAAACTATTTCCCTGGGGTAGGTATCAAGAACTAAAATGCTTGATCAAAGAGAATAGGCATTTAAAATTTTTATAGACAGTTCCAAATTGCCCTCCAAACAGGCCACCAATGTGCATTTCTACAAGCAGTATTTAAGAGTACACCTCTTTCCCTCCCTCACTGACACTGGATATTAATTTTGGCCAATCTGATGAGTGAAAAATGGAATCTTGCTGTCATTTTAATTAGCACTTCCCAGATATCTAGTAGGGTTGAGCAACTTTTCATATCTTTACTGGCTATTTCTAAAGATGAGAACCTTGCTATATATTGAAAAAAAAAAAAAAAACATAAAAACCGTGGTTGTTGTAGAAAGAATGGTGACAGTGTGGGAGATAGGGTCTTAAGAATGTAATTGTACTCACAAGCTCGGTGACTCATGAAAAGTCACTTTATTTTTTCATCTGTACAATGGAAAACATGCTTCTGAACCCTAAACATTTCTGTCCTCCAAGATTCATATGTTGAAGCCTTCACCTGGGATGTAATGCTGTTTGGAGAGGGACCTCTTTGGACGTAACTAGGTTTAGCTGAGGGAAGCTCTTTGCAATCCAGGGGAAGGACTCTCTCTCCAGGAACTGATGTCACTTGCATGGTGGTCTTGGACTTTCCAGACCCAGAAACTTCTGTTGTTGAGGTCTCCCAATCCATGGTTCTTTGTTATGGCAGTCCAAGCCACCACCATTCCTCCCCCCAGGATTGTTATGATAATAAAATGGGAGTGCTTGTGCCCATCCTCTGTGATGGGCTTGGTCTGTGTTCTCTAGGCAGAGTTGG